GTTTGTTTTTTATATTCACTTTTCTTGTCTTTTTTCGTTTATTTCCACATATAATCTATTATTGTGCATTCCATCTCTACTGTGTATTACTTTTGTTACGATAAATGTGATAAATAATTATACAGTATTTTAGTAAATGAGGTTTGGAGGAAAAAGGACAGTACCATGACATTTTATCTGTGTGGGAAAATAGAATAAGCACATTTAATTGTTAAAATGTAGGGTGCTGAAATCTAACATGTATGTAATCTGATTTTCTTTAGGGTTCACTTTTGTCCAACAACTATGTTCAATCACACGATTTAAATTCCACAGCGTGATCCACTCATAAAGTACAGGCTGATTCAGAGGTATTTATTCTGCAAAACAAACAGGAAGAGGATTTTGGTGTCACATTGCCTGCCAGTTTTACTCTTTGACAACAACATATTGATTGAGCCCAAACATAAACTACTAAGATTTGTAACACTGCTCGAAGTTTAGCTTTTAGCTCACATACATGTTCAGTGCAACATGCTCTTAGGAGCACTGGGAAACAAGGCAAGTAAAAGAAAACAGTACAGTTCAAAGAAGGGGGACCCAGGCAAAAAAGGAATGGGAGCACACAACTAAATGACTTTAATTAAATGACAAAGAGAATAGGGACTCAGGGGAAAGAGTTCAAGTCTGGGAATGCAGTAGATACCACATTTGGGCAAAAGAAGGGAAATGGGGGCAGTGATTGCTTAACTGCAGCTGAATTGAAGCAGTTATGTAAATGGCTCTAGATTAGTAGATTAATGCAATCCAGTTGAGAGGATAAGTAGGACCCTTATACCGGTGTTGGTCTTTCACATGCACACCTTCAATTTAAATAGGCTTATGCACACATGCACTCACAGACACAATTCCCATCTAAATTTGGCAGCTCAAGATAAATATTTGTAAGAATGAGCTTATTATCAGTGCAAATCCTTTGATTATGCAAATCTCCCCGCAGATTTGTTAGTGCCACACTGCCCCTGCCGGAGGCGGTCACAGTCAAGTATTGCAGGTTTTTACCATGTGGTCATTACTTAGGTGATTGCAAATTGAAACAAGCTGGTCTCTTTACTTCAGTCTCCTTGTTTTCTTTCTCTGTAACCCCTCAAAGTAGTAATGACTTATTCTGGAGCGCAAGTGATGGAGACTTTAATCATCATCTTTTCCAGTCTTGTATCTGGCAAGCCTGCTAATGTCACACTTGCAGTTATTAAAAGCTGCTGCATGACACCACAGTCTGGGTAACAGGTCCATAAACTGTTCATGCCCCACCCACGGTCTCACCCTCCCGGAATTGCCAATTACTCTCACAGGATGAGAGACCTGAGGAGGAGGAGATAGGAGGAGGTATGGTCTGTAACCATGGCAACCAGAAGGGTTATATGAGAACGGATATTGACTGCAGTGAAGATGAGTTTCCATCACATATGCAGCCCAACAGCTATTCTGACCTTTGAAGTTTCTCTCTGTAATGCTGTAACTCTGGATGGACTGCAGCCAGCTGATGCTTTGGTCAGTTTTCAAGACCTATGGTATATTACACACTTTGTACTCTATAAATATCACCCCAGCATGTTTATGTTATGATACTAATATAACAGGCATGTTGTCACATTGATTTCACTTTGAGGAAATTCCATAATGTTGGTATCTTAGAACCAAACCATCTTTTATACAAACCTGTTATAATGAACTCTTACAAAGTTAAATCATTCGCACTTCCTACACACTTTCTAAGTGGGGAAAACTCAACTACTGTTGAGCTTTTTGAGCTGCCAGCCCTCTATGTATTGATTTGTAGCTATTTTGAGGCCTGAGTGGGAAAAAAAGGGAAAGAGAAAAATTAAATAAAAGAAAAGAGGGTGAATATACATACTGGCCTTTATATCTGTGCTCATGTTCTTTTTGAAATTTGTTGTGTTTTGCCTTAAAGGGGTTTTTCAGCAATTTAGTATTGCACATAAATGTGGTGGACACACAAGAGACATTAAAAAAGGTCCTAAATGCCCACTTCTGTCAAACCTCACACCTCCAGTTTGTAACGCAGATTTTCAGTTAAAATATTTAAGTCTCAAGCCCAGTTGGCCAAGACGGCATCATCAGAATAATTAATTTTTTTACTATGCAAATCTCCCCCCATAGCCACAGAATACATCATATAACAGACTCCTTTCAACAAATGAACTGAACTTCATGTGTGAAATTGGTGGAGTCCCCCTTTAAAATAAGACATTAAAACAGACGACAAAAAATCCTTTCAGTTAATATCCTGAAAAACGCCCAAAGCGGGGATAGAAACCACTTAATTTTTTACAGAATGTGGTTCACAATACTCACAGACACTTAATCTCAAACTGCAATGTTATCATGGAGACAATTAGGCTATACAATACATTGTTTATTTAAATTTATAGCCACTGGACCTGCACTGAAATATTAATAAAAGTCTATATAAATCCCCTTGTTGAGTCATACTACTTGTTCTGTGGCTACATTAAATAACTTGTACTATGATTATGGGCGTGGGCAGTAATAGTGTATTTGTAGAGCAAAGTATTGGACAGTCTAAGGGAACATTTAACACCAGCACTTCCTCTAAACACCTCATAGCTTACACAGAACGTCAGAAACAGAGGAAAATCTTTGATAGTATGTTTGAAAACCTTTAACAAATCAAAGAAGCTTCAAATATCATTTTCAGCTGTTACACACAAGCTTGACATCATGTTATGTTAATGTTGTGAATTAAGATTTTTTGGGGATGGACCATGGAACAGAAGACTCAGAATTTTGGTGGTGAGTCATGCCCGGGAAGCCTAATTACCTTCATATGAATGTGTTACGTCACCACAGTCACTCCACACTGAGCTTGACTTGGGGTTACATTATGGAAAATTGTTCTGTTTGGTGGCTGGTTTCAGAAATGTGTGTTTTCTATCTATGTGCTTAAACCAAATGCTGTGTAGACAAAAGGTTGGCTAGACATATTCCTCATTCTTCTCCGGTCCCCTCTGAATACCAAAGACCATCTCTAAAAGCTATAAATTAAATCTGCAAGCAGTCATGAATATGTTAAGCTTATTATGGACAGCTCTCATGGATATGCTGAAAACCTAAGATGATTATGTTAAGTTAATAAAAACAGTGACTCCTTAAACATAACTTGGCAGAAGAAATGGAAATAGGCTGACTGACTAGATCTACTTATAATACTGCTGATGAGTGGGATTGTTTCCTTTTTCCCATGTAGGACTCTGTGCTTTAGATGCTTTTATAACTCAACCATTCAGCCTAGTCCGTACACCTTCTCTTAGAAGCATAACACAGGCTCAGGATGATTTTCACTTTTACACTTTAATTATCACCAGTATTATCACCTGAATCTATCTTGGGTTGTTCTTTTATCTGGGGATGAGACATCACAAGGCCTAATCACACGGTTATTGTGACGTCAAATACAAAAAGGTTTCCTTTATACTCTTTCTGGGAACTATCCTGTTCAGAGAGAGCTTGGTACAAAAACAGACTCACAACGTATCATTTTGCGGAAAACAGTACAAATATCTCAGGCAAAATAATTAACAGAAACACTAATTACCGATCTCTGACACACATTCACTCGCTGAGTCAATCCCTCATCAAAACTAAACAGGACAACCCCCCCCCCCCACTTCACCCCATCTCTCTCTGTCTGCAACCACAATGTTTTTTCACTTTATCACTCCATCTGGGTGTCTGTTTGCTGGCCTCAGCAGGAACCTGAATGCAGTGCAGCTCAATACTCCAAACTCAACCCCCTTTGCTTGTATGCTTTACCTCACAAAAAATGTTGCATACAACACAAGCAACCTGGGGAAAATGCCAACTGGGACTCCACTAATCACTGGATGAGTGTGACAACTGCAGGAGAGGACATGATGTAGACAATTGAAACTCATCCCTGACTGTATGCTCTTCTTTCTCCCACTTCTGGCCTATGTTGCCCTGCAGCAATAGGCTGCATATGCTGCAGCCACAGAAAGCTGTGATGATGAGTGTGGTGCTGTTTGTGAATGGCAGACAGGCAGGCGCAGTGTGGAGAGGCAGAGAGGGGCAGCTGTGCGTAAGTAATGCATCCTCCAGAATCTGGGTCACACTCACACCACTTTCATATTGTCAGATTATTTCACCTAGTTTTAAGATTTGACGAGTCATATTGTCCTAGATAAATATAGCTAGTGAAGCCCCGCAGTACCTGTAATAGAATCTTTTCAGTTACTATGCATCACTGTTAAAGAAGACAATACATACAGTGGAATATCTGTAGGGATGCTTTTAAGTTTTTTGTGATAATGATGATGTTAACCTTTCTAAAACATATTTACAATGATGCTTGGTAAGAGGGACAGTGGTACACAAGATACAGGAGTGCTAGTGACATATTCAATGACATATAGCCTAGTATAAAGGTATTTATAAAATAAAATATAAAGAACAAGGTAAATCAATGCAAGAACAATTAAATGAAAGATTTATGTGTGTTTTAAAAATAAATAACGTTACATAAATACAAACAAATAAAAAGGAAAGCCATAGAGTAAAATGATCACAACTTTATCCTTTTAAAGATAAGATAAAGCATATTAATTTATATCAGTAACCAATCTCTAGAATACACTGTTGGCTATACGTTTCTTTTTCTTTTTTCATAGACAGAAATGGTTTGGTTCCCAATCTTCTTTCCCTCTTTTGATGACAGATTATCTTGCTCTTACAGACAATAAAAACACTGCCTTTAAAATTTTGAAGCAACACCTGGGAGCACATGAGTCTTCCTCTCTTTGTGTCTGTTGGCTTTCTGCCTTTTTATATAGTCTCTGCTTTCTGCTTGTGCCACCGTACGCTCTGACGACGTACTGTACGTTTCTCCCGCACCGGCAGCGTGTTCACGCATTCACTGCGCGCGGTGTCATTCTTGAACACGCAGTCAGGTGTCGCGCTTCTATCACGCTACCGGCGACGCCCGCACGGCTACCCCCCACCCCCCACCAACGCTGCCGTCGAGACAGTTTTATTTATTTATCTATTTTTTTCCCTTCCCACCCATGTGGAAGAAATGTATGGGGACGGGTGACGTCGCGCGTGCACCCAAGTGTGTGCGTGGAGCAAAGTGTCAGCGTGCGGCGCGAGAGGAGGACAATCCCTGCGCTGGGTCCAGTCTGTAGTCAGAAGATAATATCAGCGGCGGAAACACAACTTGAGCCGCTGTGTTAACTGCTGGAACATGTGTGTCCGAGGACTCAAGTTGTAAACCGGCGCTGTTTGCAGTTTAGCTGACATCTTTGAAGTGCTGGAGGTGAGTTAACACAGCTCTGACAGACAGAAACACAGCCTCCCTTCCTGGATGTGAAGCAAAATCAAGCAGCGACAGTTCACCATCACAGGACCTCCATTTCAGGTAAGTCAGGTAAACTTCTGCCCAATAATTTGCAGGCTCTTGACAGGCAGGTTAGCCGCTGCGATAACGTTATATATCCGACATCCGTGTTTAATGTGCTAACGGTTCAGTAACGGACAGAGACCAGGCTTCATCATATCTGGCTTTCGATGTGAGTTTGGGCTAACAGTTAGTAAGCTATCCTAACTGCCAAGCCTCGTGTCGAACCACACAGGGATGTGGGTTTTGGCTGCATCGTGAACCCGTGTGGCATATCCTATCTAGTTTCAGCTAGCCAAAGAGGAAGTGTGAAGCGTGATGATAACGCTACCCTACATTACAACATAGCATTACCCGTGATTAATACTCAACTGCTTTCACTGTCCTTTCTTAGCCGTTACATTACCGATGTTTATATCCTCGTCCTACCCGGAGTAAAGGGGGTGGTGGGAGTATGGATCGTATTAGTCTGTGGTCACGGTGGCAATGCTACATGGCAGTAGTTTACACAGAAACAACACATTAGACTGTGCAGCCTGAGTGCAAGGACATCCGACCTCTTTGGCTGGATGATGCTGCAGCAGCTCCTTGCATGTCGCCGTGGGGTGTGGTTGGCAAGCCGGACAGAGAGGCTGTCAGCAGTGTAAAAGCGCTCCCGCCTCCAGCCATGATCTCCCATTTGACAGCTCATTAAAGAGCTGGCCACATCGGATTAAGCCATCCCAACATCCCCATGTCCCTTTACCAAACAGGTCCTCTACCGTGCGGGTTCTCTGTCTGTCATAACAGCTCTGCTGCTGTTGCAGGCGGGCCCCAGAGGCTCTTAAATCTGCCCCAGTGGACGGTCAACATGTGTTGCACACTCACTTCTGTTTGATCAGCCTGTTCACAGCATGCTGTAAAAACTAGGATGCATGCTGTGCTCATTGTATGTGTTGTATTAACTGATTCTAAGGTAAGGATAGCTCTCATGCAGGTATTGGAAGAAAAACATTATTCTTGTTGTGACAAGAAGATAGGGTCACTGTTATTTAATGTTATTCTTTCATCCTGACCTCAATCTGCCATTCTACTCTATTTTTATGTTGGGTGTAACATCAATGAATGCTGACATTCACCGGGACTTCTGTTTACGTCATAGTGCCCCCCCCTCTTTTTTAATTCCCTCACACCCTGCCTATATCCACTTTCCTTTCCATAACTTAATTCATTCCCTTTATTCTTCAATCATAATCCTATCTCTCCCTTCATACCCCTGCCTTCCTCAGCATGACTCTGAGTAATCGACTGCTACTAGGAAGATCCTTGTGGACTATACCAACATCTGCATGCCTCTCTCACTGCTTCACTCCCTTCATTATAACCCTTTCATGAAGACATACACGGGCAATTCATCCTGTAAAGAGCGAGACGGATGAGTAAATGTCTGTGCTGTGTATTGATGTTTATATGTAAACTTGGGGAGCAAAAAAGTAACCAACTACTACTGACGAAAGTGCTGTGTAGTCAGAGGAGAGAGGAGAGATTAAACACATTACTGACTGCAATATCATGTCTTTCTGAGAGGGGAGAGGCTGTCACTGCTAACATACACATAGATGCACACATACCAAACACACAATGCCTCCAGCAATGAATGACCAAATTGACACATTTCTGGGTCCTATAGATCTAAACCCTGAGCAATAAAAGTAGATATAGCATAACCGAGTTTGTGTGTGTGTATGTGAGACAGACACAGGGCGAGAGGGAGACTGTTTGGGTTGACTAGTCATTGGGGTCAGTAACTAGTAGTCATTCTGTTGGCAAAGTAGCTTTTAGGTCATATGCTTCACTAGTGTTGCACTTGGCTGGGTTACTCAGCCTCTCAATGGGATCTTTACAGTGTCTTTGGAGTATCACTGGGCTGCTGAGAGTGTGTTGACTGTGGAGAGATGTCTGGATTGCGGCCAGACCTGTTCTGACAGTCTGCGCTGTGCTGATGCTGATGTAACTACAAGGAGATGTATGCGTGTTGTGTTCATATATAGGCCTATGAGGCTCTTTAACAAATGTGTATTACAAACAGGACGTGTCTCAGTCTGTCCACACCCTCACTGTTGATTTGTAACCTGAGCTCCCATTTTTATGTATTTATTGGGCCTGCATGTCTCACTCCTCTGTACATGTGTAATAATCTTGTGCCCATTGCAAAGACATCTGTCTACCCAACAACCAATAATAGTTCCTCTGCTAAAGGACAAGGCCAGCCTTTCAAGTGCATTATTATAATATATATTATTAAATATCAAGTTTTTATCAAACATTTCTGGTTTTTATTATTTTTGTAGCCAGTTAGGGACAATTGTATCATACATCATGACTTTTTGTGAAGTCTAAATCACCATGTGTATATTAATCATGATGGTTACATCCCTGTCATTTAATACGATTGCAAATCTCATCTGCAGGCTTTATTTTTCAAATGTCCTCCAGTGACAAGCTTGTTGCACTAATGCCAATGCTTATTCCACCACACTTGACTTGTTGCGAATAGATGACTTCATAATATATCACAACAAGGGGTGAGTCGAGAGCAACTTGGCTTTTCATTAGAAGAAGTAACTAGAACTGAAACGATCAGTCGATTAATCAATTAGGCGATAATTAAAAAATTATGACAAAATTTAATATGCAACTATTTTGATTATAAATTAATAATGTAAGTTCATTTTCAAGCAGCGATGTCAAAGCATTTATGTTTGGAGTTTCTCCTTGTGAGGATTTGATGCTTTTCTCCATCTTTAGTTCTTTATTTACAGTATAAAACCTAATGGTTTTAATGCCATTTGATAGCCAGACGGTTTATTTTGCAGAGCTCTCCAGCTGGTGAAGTAGGCTACTTTAGGCACCTGATTTAAGAAAGTGCCTCCTTACCACTGTTCACTATACTGTACAGTTCACTACTAACATTTATTACAAAAAGTGGTACTACAAAGAAAAAAAACAAACAAACATCTAGTGCCACATTTAAGTATTTCAAGTATAAGGCAAAGCGCACTAACACACACCAAACAGTGTACTGCTGTAACCCTATACACCATTTAACAGAAAGGAAGGGGATTTCCAGGGGTCGATTATGAAACTACCTATATGTTTGTCACACTTTGTTCAACCTGTTAAGAAAGGATCAAGGTTTCAACACCAGCCAGTGGTAGCCAGGCACCAGCTTAAAGCCCTGAGTATGCTATGCTTCAGCTAATATTCTTATGCTGTATTGGTGCTGATGCAGGGTGGCCCAAAGTCAGAGTTGTTTTCTCAAGCAGCAATTAGCTTAATTATGAAACTCCTCTGCAGCTGCAGGATTTCTTCATTGCTTCTTTCTCGCTGTCACCACGAAGTAATTTAGCTCCATTGTTTGTTTAAGCTGATTGTCTCAGTGCTACATTCACTTCATTATAAATAAGCATTGAAGGTGCATTTTCTGTTGCTGCATTATTCAATTTATGCAACTCTATGTAAACTATTATTTGATTGATTTGATGAGTCATAGTGATTGTTTAGCTCCAACATTGTTGAGGAGTATAGCAGGGTAGATAAATACTTTTTGATCTTGGCCTCAATTTTGTCTGTTGAAGGGTTTTCTTTAAACATTTCGGCTTTCTAGTGCAGTATAAGCCGGGTAACTGTTTATACTGGGAATGGATGAGGTAATTTAAGGCCTGTGCTGGCTTTTGTTTGCTTCTGAGAACATTAAAGGTGCTTGTTAGCTTCTTGGTGCCCCTATAAAATGTTCCAGTTTCCCATATAAGCTAGGTTCTGGCTGCCAGCTTGGGAACATGTTGCTCTAGGAGGTTTAGTGGGAACTGTGTGTGGTTGACGGCATAAATGTTTGTGCCTGTGCACATGGGAAAATCTGTGTGTGAAGTGAAAAATGTAATGTACATTTTTAACCAAGAGCTGTGTTGTGATGCAAGCTAAGATTATCAGTAAGCTAGCACTGACCCCAAATATGTAAAGACAAATAAATATTTAAATTATTGATATGCATCAGACCATGTCACTCTCTATTTCCTCTGAGGAAGAGCGTTTCATCCAGATGTTCCACACCTGTGTCCCCTATGAAGAAAAAACAGTACAAACATCCATCATGCCTCTCAGCCATTTCAGCTGTTCTCTGATAATGGCACAGACATGCATAAACATGCTTAAAACAGTGGCATGGTGGAAAGTGATCCTCTTGTTCTTGTAAATTATGTGTGCAAATTCCAGTGCACATGGTTGTGAGTCAAGTCTATTAACCTGCTGTAAATAAATACATGCTAATGTGAATACGTGTAGAGAGCTTTTGGTGCCTGTGTGAATAGATGTCAGCTGTATCTGTCCCTAGTTGTTCTGTTTAAGAATGTGTGCTTGTGTCAGGGCTTTCTGTGTATGAATGATCTCTCTCTCTCTCTCTCTCTCTCTCTCTCTCTCTCTCTCTCTCTCTCTCTCTCTCTCTCTCTCTCTCTCTCTCTCTCTCTCTCTCTCTCTCTCTCTCTCTCCCGTCACTGTCTTTTTCTGCCTCTGTGAATGAGGGTGAGATCACTGTGATTGCCTTGGCTCGGTAACATCACCATGCCAGCAAGTGGGGGTAGAGGTCTGCATGCTCTTTCCAATTCTTCGCCTCTCTTATAGGCGTAGCCCTCCTCCATCCTTTCTTTCATTCTTGTTCTCTCCCATGCTGTAGAAATCCATGTGGAAGAAAGCTTCCTTGCCCTCCAGCATCAATTCATTTGTGTCTCTCAGTCAACCCCAGCTCGGAGATTGGACCCGATAAGGAAGTCATGTGTGCATGTACGTGTGTTTTTCAAATGTGCAGCCTGTACGCGCTGGTGTGTTTTTTGTGTGCGTACCATGTCTCTCGCTGTGTGTGTTGTGGATGTTTCAAATCCCCCGTGAGACTGCTCCTCCCCATCATCCTTTGCTATGAGAGGAATAGAGTTTTTGAGAGCAACGGTTGCCTTGGTAGCCATTGCTGCCATCTGTGTATGTTGTATGAATGTTTGTTAATTTGCGTGTAGAAAAAGATGGCGCCGCCTGCGGACTTAATGCTTCAGCTGCCTCCTCGCTGCATTATTTATTTAACAGTTAGCAGAATAACTGGAAGGTTACTGGGTTACAATTCATTTCAGGGTAGGAATCCACTTTCAGCTCAGTGAAAGTGTGTCATTGTAGTAACACATGTACAACAATATATGCTCAAAATACACCTGCCCACACAACTGTCATCTGCCTTAAGAAGGAAAAAGGATGAGAGTGGAGGGTAAACTAGTCATTATGTTAAATCATTTTGTATTTTCCTTGTATTGTAATTTTTTATTTCAAATTGTTAATTCAGATTCCTTGTATGTGTAAAAGCTACTTGGCAATAAAGCTGTATGTGATTAAAGCTGAAACTATTAGTCGATCATCAGAAAATTTATCACTATATATTTTGATAATCTAATAATCATTAGAAGCATTTTACAAGCAAAGATATCAAACATTTTCTCATTTTGGCTCGTCTCTTAGTAATGCCAGTGGCCATTGTTTCAGTATGTTGAGTATGTTTAGAGATAGAGAAGTGGCGACAGATCTTGCAATTGTATCACACTGATGGATAAAGTGGATGGACTGAATGGCAGTAATCAAGGCAGCTACCTTTAGGGTTCGGCGGTATATTGCTATTATAAGGTATACGATATATATTCAAAAGAGATATGACATTAGACAATACCATTTATACCGATAGAGTTTGATGTTGCATTAAGTAATACATTTTTCCAAAGTTCCACGTCCTGCTGGCGTTTGCTCCTCTCTCTCCCTCACAAATTCTCTAGCAACATGGAGGGAGAAACAATACCAGCGACACTGCTGAAGACTTGTTTTTTAAAAAGTAAGACAATTGTTCAGTTATTTGGACATATTATTTTGGATTTAAAAGATCAGATGTGTCCTACATCTCAAATTTGGCTTCCAGCCCACTTCGTAGAAAATAATAATATATATTGTATATCGGAATTCAGCATGAAAATAAAGGGATATGATTTTTGGTCCATATCGCCCAGCCCTAGCTACTTTATACATTCACCTCGTCCGAGGAGTCGAGACAAAATCAATTAGATGTCTATTCGAAACAGTAATTTATTTCATGACGAAAAGGTGTGAAGACAAAAAGAAGGCAATAGAAAAAACTAAGAAAAAATTTAATGAAGCAAAGAGATCTGCATCATAACTTTAGAGGAGACTTCTCATGAACTCGATTAGTGCAGGCTGTCAGTGTTCAGTAAATTTGCAGCAAAGTGATAAAGTATGTGATGATTAGTTTATTCTGCAGTTGATTAAGTGGACTACAGTGATGTAGTACAGTGAAGTGAAGTGTTGAAGGAGATGTGAGAGGCCAGGGACCAAAACTGTGGTGGTCACACACATTTTCATGCACTATGGAGCTTCTAAGTTCAGCCCAGGGACTGGAATAAGATGATGATAAATGGCCCACCTGTATGTGTTGGAGAAAAGAGGGTGCCAGAGGAGAGTGTAAACGTTAGTCCCAAAAATACTCTGTTGTCCCCAGGCTGTGGTGCGTCATGTGACTTGGGCCCAGAGTGTTGTGCAGAGTAGTTTTCATCTGTAACCCAGTTTTTAAGACTGACTCACCATTTTTTCCATCTTTTGTCGGTCTTTCTCAAATAGAAACTCTCAGCAACCTCCAGCAATGATGTAGACTTGACAACACCACGATGATGATGCTCACAGGGAGGAGGAGAAGCAACTGACTCTCTCCTCCTTTTTGCCACACCTGGCTCTCTATGTCCGTCGCTATTGGGCGGCGGGAGTGCTATGTCATCAACCACACCGCCTGCGGCCCCACCCTTTAAGAAGGGAAGGAAGCCGGAGAAAGCTGAGTTGATGGCTGACGCGGTGCAGGCCACCAACGAGGAGCTGCGGAGCAAGCTCATGGACATCCAGATGGAGATGCAGCAGGAGCGGGGCAAGGTGAGGGGGAGGAAGAAGAAGAGGAATAATTGGCGGCAAAGTGTGTAGCATCACAACAGTAGGAAGGTAGTCCCCTTTATATCATCACAATAAAGGCAGAGGAAGTAAAGGTTTATAAAGTAAGTAATTATTTATAAATTATTTACCGTCACAAAGTTGAAAATGTTTTGTTGCTGCAGCTAATATTCAATACAAGCACACGTAAGTAACACTTATATGAGGAGCTGTAATAATGGTGATTACTCTCCTTATGAGCTTATACATCTGCTAATAGTATGATATGGCAGTTCCACAAGCTTTTTATCGGTGTACACCACATTTCCAATCCGCATTATATTTATTCAGTGGCTGTCAGGCCTGCAAACACTGTACATAGTCTTGGAAAAGCTGTCAGGGTGGTTTGCCTCTTCTTGTACGTTCTGACTGACACAAAAAACTACCTCCCTGTGCTCCCCTTGTCCTTCTCTGCATCCTTGGTTGTACTTGGAGAATGACAGTTACAGTGCCAGGATTCAGTTCTTACTGGGGCCAGCCATGTTAATAAATGTATACAATTTGTATAAAAAGCATCCGCAAGATGGCACCTGGGTGTAAGAACGTCAACAGCAGTGTATGAAGCATAATATTGACAGTTAAAGTGGGACAGGTATATAGATACATCAAAACTGAAGTATCATGATACAATTAATCTGCGCAGACAAAGATATAGGGAGGTACATGCAAAAGAAATTTAACATTTTGTTTAAGCCAGCACTGAAACCATCTGTTCTCCATTTGTTTACTGCTCCCTGTTGGGGAATAAATCACAACTCGATAGCTTGCATGCAGTCTGGGGCAAAATGTATGAACATACTGGTGGCTTGTGAAATGTATGATGGTGACTGGTTGGATTCTTATGCAACGCTAATGGCAAAAGGTGTCGCTCTCCCAGGTATGTAAGCTCCGTGAGCGGCTCCAGGAGCAGCGGCAGGCTCGAGAGCTTGAGCAGCACAAACACGCTGTAGCGCTCACTGACCTGCGTGCCAAATTCCACGAAGAAAAGCTACGTGACATAGCGGCCGTCCGTGAGGGGCTGGCGCGGCAACATGAAGTCGAGCTGGCCCGGGCCATCAAGATCCGGGATACTGAGGTGCAGAGGCTCCAGGGGCTTGTAAACGCACTGAGAGATGGAGCTGCTGACAAGCTCAAAAATGCTCTTCTCGGAGAGGCTCGGGAGGAGGCCAGGAGAGCTTTTGATGGGGAGAGGCTAAAGCTACAGCAAGAGGTAGGTTGCAGCATGAAAACAGGTGATAGCAATGCAGTATGTAGTAATATTAATTAAGTTATTATTTATAATTATTAGATTGTAGAAAGATATGGACACTGTAATTGTTACATGAAATGCACACAAGTATTAATCCTAACGCTGCTTTCACACCACACCTGGTATCCTCTGCTTCACACAAAGCAGAGCACAGCCTCAAAATACTGCTTTTTGTCGATGCAGCAAAAGCACTTCACCAAAGGACTTGCACATTCAGCTATCAATTGCGATGGCTGTGTTGGTGTTTCTGTTGTATTTAGGCTGTGACCTGAGATAGGAAATTTCCTGAGGGCAATGTATGTTCTTAAAGTTTTTTGTGGAAAGTTGGCATTTTGAAACCATCATGTCAGTGTGCGTGTCGACTGTTGATGTGTGTAAACCTTTTGTAATTTTGCTGCTGAAAAACAGGAAGCAGGGTGGAAAAGCCTGTTGCCAAGCTATTGTTCTATTGTAGCCTTCCTAGACAAACAGGGCATCTATCATTACAGCTGTTTAATGGGGTAGGTCTTAGGTTGCTAAATGCCTGTGCATCACTCTCTTTGTTTGTTTTTTGGTTCAGTGTGTATTAATATTACTGTGCGTGTGGGATCTTGTAGATCCAGGAGCAGAAAACGGCCAGGAAGCAGGCTGAGGAGGCACTTGGAAATGCTCTGCAGGCTGATAAAGCCAAAGCAGCAGATCTCCGCACAGCCTACCAACAGCACCAGGATGAGGTGCACCGCATCAAACGGGACTGTGAGAGAGACATCCGCAGAGTGGTAAGACCACATGCTGCTGAGAAGAAAGACACTACATCACTACATGTGTCTTATCTTGAAGTGACATGACCACTAGCTAAGCCTATGGATAAAAACTAATAAATTTAAATGTTCCCTAAAGACTCTGTTGACTATATACTTGCTTGTGTCTCTAAATTATTAAAGAAATTTCAATTATCTGTTGTGTAACATCCAGGAAATATTATAATCTATTTAACCTTTATTTACCTTTGTTACGTCAGTTAACACATTTGTATTTACAGTATCAACTTGTCCAGGCTGTCTGTTATAATATAGAGTAGGTTTTCAGGGCCTTTTATTTCCAAAACCATGTACGACCACTTCCCCTGTGGGCCTACGCTGAAAAGTAAAATCTGACCTGTTATGTCCATCACAATGAGCTCACCCTAATCAAATTACAAAATATGGAGCTGTAATATGTGCAATGAAAAGACCTTACACTGCCCTATAAACCATATATTACTTTTCCTGTGTTAGGTTAGCTTGACAAACTCAGCAGCTGTTCTTTTTATAGTCCTTGTCTGTCCCAACCACATTTGAATATTACCAGCTCACACACCGACATCGGTTTTCCTGTGTCTAAAGTTCAGTTCCAGCTCAGGGTTTATCTTACTGACGTGGTATGAAGGTTAGAGACTAATTGCTGTCTTTGCCTATCTCACGATGTGCTGCTTATCTGCAAAAATAAAAGTTTGTATACCTGCCGCAGTTACTCATTAATCCCATTACGTACAGTAGGCCTACAATAACATGCATTGTTGTCAGTAAAGGAATGTTTAAGCAAGCAGACTTGCTCTGGAATTAGAGTTGTAAAAGAGTAAAGCATGGCTGATTGATAGAGAGCAGTCAGTGCAGGAAATACCAATGTTAAAGAACAAAATACGAAGGAAGTAGAAGTGGGAACATTTGTCGGAAGAAGTTACATGAACGCAGAGCAAGAACAAAGCTTTTTATATTCATCACAGCTGAGAAACAATATTTAAAACATTATCACTCCCTTATCAGAGCATGCAGCTAGTAAGACTGAAGGTGTGGGACAACATACTAGATCCTCATGCATTGGTGGTAAAACGAGTGGAACATACGGAAAATGAATGAATGAATTTTTGCAACTTGCACTCAGAAATATCTCCATCATTCATTGAAAGCATTTTTAGTAATATTTATGTGGGCTGTAACTGTCTGTCTGACTCACTCTTTCTACCACCTACCACCACGTTCCTATCCATCCCTCTTATAGATGGATGAGTTGAAGGCGAAGGACCGGGTGGTGTGTGCCCTGGAGAGGGAGCTGGGTCTGCAGGCCGGCTACGCCCAGAAGCTTCAGCTTCAGAAAGACGCCCTGGATGAGCAGCTGGGCCAGGTACGAGAGGCTGAGAGATACAACCACGGCAGCCCCAAGAGAGAGGTGGTGCCTGGGCTGGGGGACAACTCGGACCTTCTCAACAACCAGGTATCCACAGACATAAAAGCAAATGTGTACACATCCATCTGTACATGTGCATTAATGCATTAATAAACTTGTAATATCAGAGGCACTCTGATATGCTGAAATGCTCTATGTGCATAAGACCAAAATATAGACATTAAAGTTATGTAACAGGAGAAACATGAGTTTTCTGCATCTTTAAATGTGATCATTTTCATCCAAAGCGTGCTAAACATTCTTTTTGTATGATTTTTGTGACAAAGAATCTAATATACAATTAAAATAGCATTAAATAGAAATAAAGCACACTGGCTTTGGATTGGTTCTTGGCGTTAGCTGCCAGTACCCTGGCTTTAGGTATCATAGAGAAAAAGTGTAATCATCGAATCCCCTGATTGAAACTTTTATAGGCCTTTTAAAAGTTTGAAACATTGAAATCTCCCTATAGGCTCAATGTTGTATTTGTTTTTATTTTTTTAGCAGGCCGACCCACCCACCATTTTAATCTTAAGAAACCTTTATACTTTGAGTGCATAATTAATTTTTTCCTAGTAACAATGAAAAGCATCAGTCATATCGGAGATATGGCTGCACATTCAGCTCATACATTCATGAGAATCATCTGGATATACTGTGTGTGTTGCACATACAGGTCACAGTTGTACTGTGAAATGGCATCTCATCCTTTTTACTGTGAAATGGCACCTCCTCTTTCCCATCCACCTCCATTACCTCCCTGCCTGCCTGCCTGCCTGCATGTACGCCCTTTTTTAGATGTTGTCTTCCTCCCCCTCTCCTCTTCCCCTTACTGCACAGGAGGTGGAGGAGCGTGACATGAGGAGGTTCCAGCTGAAGATCGCGGAGCTTCACTCGGTCATCAGAAAGCTGGAGGACAGAAATGCACTGCTGGCCGACGAGAGGAATGAACTAGTGAGGAACACACATGCAGAAGTACATACATACGTTGATTATATGCATGCAAATACATACATACACACACACACACACGCACACACATTGTTACACTTACACGAGTACAGAAATACACACATGAAAATGAATTAAAAAACATACATGCCAATGAAAACGTGTCTTAAAACATTTGATTTTCTAAGCCTTACAGCTTACTGAAACATATGTGTCACTAGAAGGCAAGACTTAGGATTACTTAAGATTTCCCCTCCCTGTTTCCTTCCTCTGTCCAGTTGAAGCGGGTGCGAGAGGCAGAGAGCCAAATGAAACCCGTGTTTGAGAAGAACAAGCGGCTGTCCAAGAAGAATGACGACCTCTTGCAAACGCTACAACGCATGGAGGAGAAACTGAAGAGCCTGAGCCGCGAGAACGCTGAGATGGTGAGATGCACCCAGCGTTGAAAATGAAAAAGTTCAGATAGTGGTAGAAAATAACAGATACTTTAGTTTTTAATGTGTAGAGGAAGAGGGATTGTGTTACTGTAGCTGAGGATTTCATCAAAAAGGAATCAGGCCCTCTATTTGAGGAGAAGCATGAAATAATTCTCTCTCTGTCTCTGTCCCTCAGAAGGAAAAAGCCTCCACCTCTCGTCCACCCCCACAGCAACAATCCATTCAGCCCCCGTTAAGGAGGCCAAGTTCCCTGACAGACCTGAGCCACGCTCATGAGGAACAGGAAGTGGAGTTCCTCAGGATGCAGGTTTCTGAGCAACGTGGCATCATTGACGAGCTCACGCAGGTCAGGATTTTGCTCAAACCACCAGGGTCAAATAACCTGTTATATTTTATTATACTGTTTATTTGTACTGTGGTAGCTCTCCCTTTAACAGCTCTTGGTGTATAGGCCATTGTTAGCAATGCTGTTAATAAATGATCATGATTATTTGACATGATTTTGTTTCAATATGATATTTTCATTACCTCACTGGATATGCATATATTCCTGTCTGATTATGATTATTATTATTATTATTATTATTATTATTATTATTATTTTATCTATTAAAAATTTCTAAGTTGAATTTTCAGATATGTATATCAGTTTCACTATTGTGATATAAAATGACATATACTGTGATTATAGGATTTCATCCATATCAAGCACCACATTGTGAAATCACTAGACATTAATTCCTGCTCCTCTCTGCCTTTTGGATCCCTTTGGATTAGTGGAATAATATTTTCAGAAGGGGCTGTGATTGTACATGGTGGAATGTGTTAGTGGTTTAAGAACATTTCTACATCTATATGTCTCATTTATTCATCTTCACTAGTCTTTCCCTTCCCAAACACCTTCTTTACCTACCCATCACAAACTGCTAATTCCTTCATTAGATACAGCTTCAACCCTTATGCTTTATTCCTATTGAGTCATGTCTAGATCTCAGATGTGAGGCTGGTCCTGTGCGAGATGTTGATCTGCTGTCTGTTTGTCTTTAGGAACGTGACCGGCTGGTGATGAACAAAAAGAACCGGAGGAAACCTCTCAAAATGCGCACAGTAAGTGTTCATGCATCCATGAGATGGTGTAAAAACAATCCAGTATCCCAGTAAGGCTGATCCTTAAGTACTGTTTTGAATTGTGTGTGTGTTTGTCTGTCTCTGTGTGTGTTTGTGTGTAATTGGGCTCATGAGACAATAATAGACAGTATCCCTCACAGCTGGGAGCATCACGTTGAGCACACATGCAACTCCTGCATGAACTATTCCTACAGCTAATGGAAAATTATAAATTTTTTTCTGTTGTTTTATTTTATTTTGTGTATTTAGTGATATTGCATGACCGTGCATAGATTTATCGCAAAAAGTGCAAGCTTAATTTTTGTGCAGCAGTTTGTTTCTGTGCTCCCTTGTGTGTGAATAAAGGGCGAAAAGGGGGGTTGCTATCTAATTGGGTGAGTCGACTGTAGTAGAAAAAAAATAATTGTGTGTGTGTGTGTGTGTGTTTGTGTGTGTGTGCGTGCATGTTGGGGCTAATACATGAGGGGACATTTAGAGTCTGTGATGTTGCTAGGAGGAGGAGTGTGTAGATGCATGCCACATATTTTCTCACACCTCTCCTGCTGGAACCAGTTTGTCACCTTGGCGAGGTGTATACAGGTTTGGGCACAGTGGCTTTGGCTCTTGGACTTGCACCTGGAAATTTATCTCTCTTTTTCTGGGAATTTAAAAAGGAAGCTGAATACATGTGCCCGGAGACAGTAACCAGAAGCTTTTTTGTCTGCTTTTCATTTTTTGTGTGGGCGTGCAGCGGAAGGCAGTTGTGCTCCTTGGACGATACTGAGACTCCGCAGAGCTCTATATAGATCAACCAGTATAATTAGTTATAGTTTAGTGTTGGTGTTTTTATTCTAGCAGCAACATGACAGAGTATATCCTCCTTATTCTCTACTTCTCTGCCTTCATTTGCCTCTGTACCCTAGTCTGCCTCTACTTCTCTGGTTGCCAGGAGATGACTTATAAACATGATGGTAAGGACGCTGTGGGAGAAGTAAACCAACAAGCAGAGACTTGATGTGATATGATCTGATTTACTTTACCTGAGAGAAACAACAGAATGACAGTACCTGGTTTTAGTACTGTAGTAAGTTTTAGACAAAATGTTGGTGAATTTAGAATCTTATAGAATTTAAGTTCTTTAATCTGAAATCCAATGTGATATAATCCGGATCAGTGTTTGATTTGTTGGCTTTCTATAGTTTTGAACAACTACATGTTTGTTAAGTTTTGGGTTCTCTTTAACAGTGTGCATATTCCTCTTTTCTCCTCTCTTCCTCTCTGCAGAGGCATGTTGTGGAGACATATTTTGGATTTGATGAAGAATCGATAGACTCTGAGACGTCCTCTCTGACCTCCTTTAACACTGACCTCACTGACCGCACGCCTGCAACTCCAGAGGAGGATTTGGAAGAGGTAAATAAATCCATAAAGCTAGGGTAGGTAATGTATTTGAAAAGCATTTTTTGTTATATTTGTTGTTCTTTCTTTTTACATCCCAATAGCAGTCAATAAATCAAATGTGCTGGGGAAAAAATGAAAACAAATCCGGTATCAATGGCTGTCGCAGGACTGTAAAGCCGGCCTGTCTAGTGAGTGACTGTGCACTCATTGTGCATGAACGTGTCTCGAGGGAGTGGCTTTGGAGAGACGGGAGACAGGAGAGGATGGGATTTTTCTAATCTAGCTGTCGCCTGCTAGTTTCTACCGACCCCAGCTTTAATTTACATTGGAAGAAATTCGTTGGAAGAAATTATTTTAACTATATTCTGTAGTTCTAGCAGCTGAAAGATGTGCCGCAGAAATATTGAGATAACTGACAGGACAGAAGACACACCCTCAAAAATAATTTACAGAATCAGAGACAAGCTTACAAATCAGTTAAGGAAAAGGGTGTGTGTGTGTGTGTGTGCATTTGACCCTGTCCCTCTTTAATATATCTTTTAATATGTTTAATTTCTACTTTTCTTAAATAAAGAGCGTTTCCCGTGAAGAGTCAGAGCTTCGTTTCCGTCAGTTGACCAGAGAGTACCAGGCTCTCCAGCGTGCCTACGCTCTTCTCCAAGAGCAGACGGGGGGCTCTCTGGATGCTGAGAGGGAAGCCAGGGTTTGTACATAACATAAGACATATGAATATACTGTAACTTCTTAATCCAGTAAGTGATTGTAATTTATGATTTGCAGTAATACCATCCTAAATTATTCTTCTCTCCCACAGACACGTGAGCAGCTGCATGCGGAGCTCAGCAGCTGCCAGGCCAAGATCGTCGACCTGGAGAAGGCCCTGTCGGAGAGGGGGCAGGTAACAAAGAGGAGGGATGGTGACAGGAGCTCATGGGTCCTGCTCTCACTGGCTCTCCTGCATGTCTGTCTGGCCGCTCTGCTCCTGGGCTGGCGCAATGCCTACCAGGTCTTCCGCAGAATCCTGTGATGTCCTTCCTGCATGTGTGATGTCACAGCTCTGTGCCTGCATGCTCTGCCTCACCCTTTGTCCTTCCTGCTGCCGGTTCTGTTTCTTAGTGGGCCTTTCAGTGCTGCTGAGCCTAGAGAGGAGGCTTACACCACTTTGATTCCTGTCCGCTATAAGTACATTGATATACAAGATCTTGATCCAGCAATGTCTCAACTTTTCTGAATATGACAATACGCAGTTTACATTGTTTATACAACAGTCAAAAGTCATCATAAAACATTTCGGTCTAAGAACTAAGCCAAACCTATGCATGTGTAGAAGAATCGCCTTGGCTATTTTCTCAAAACTAAGTAGATTCAAAGTAATTCTTACATCGAGTATGTAAATTATTACCTCTTCTGAATATCACGAGAAGGAACACAAAGTTATTACGGCAAATTCATATCATCATCACTTAGTTTCTTCATTTGTTGTGAAGTTTTTCCTTTGTCACTGCATATTGCCTGTTCCACTGTTGCTTGATCCAGCTCTGTTATTTTGAGTTGCTGCTCAACAGTTTTTCAGCTCACATTGCCTTCTGTTCCTACTGTTACTGTAAGCTCTTGTTGACTGTGAATGCAGCTCCGCATGTTATCTCGCGAGCGGTCTTTATTTCTCTGGATCAATAAACTTGTGCCACTGCCACTCTGTTCCTGTCTGTTTGTGTCTATGCTACATCTATCATTTGGAAATTTAGTAAATGGATTTGATTTGGCTGATTGTGTTACTGACAGCTTTGTTCATTACACCCTGTCATCTGGGATCCTTACCTTCCTTTCCTGCTCCTGCCAGTGTCATTTCGTGCTGATGTTGTGTTTGGTTGTTATGGCAGGATTCAAAGTGGGTGGAGGAGAAGCAGTACTTGCTCAGGACCAACCAGGAACTTCATGAGAAGGTACATTGCATTACCTTATACTCGCTGCTCAGTGCTCTATAAGTCTTTAATCACTTTATAGTCAATTTAGATACTGTGTCAAAAGGGTTAGGGTTAACTTTGTAGACGAGAGCTTGTTTTTAGATTTTTCACTGCTATTGCTCATATGATATTATAATGTATATTCATTGTACCTATACCAAACAATAATTTTTCACTCCCCAACTTTGAGGAGTATGAACATTTGCTTCAAAATCTATTTTTTATTTAACAAAACAAGCAAAAACTTCTCAGCACAAGCAGTCAAGAAATTTGCCTAAATAAAATACAGTCTAAAACTAGTAAAATTCAAATCACAAGCTGTCTGATCAAGGCATTTATAGAACACATTTCATACACAAAGGTAATTCAAAGCGCTTTACATAGACTTAACATTAAAAAGATAAATTGAAAATATAGAAATACAAATTAAAATGTTATAAAACATCGAATGGTATGTTTGTAGAAATGGAAAAGATCAAAACAGAAACAGAAAGATGTAAGTGCTTAGGTGATTTAAAAGTGGTCAAAGTCGGGGAAGTTTTTTTTTTCTTCTAGAAGTTTGTTCCATATCTTTAGAGCATAGTGATCAAAAAAAGTAAAAAGGAATATGAATTGGAGCAAGCATTCACTGCCAGCTTTTCGTGAAAAGTTACTGCACTTCTGATACCAAAGGTTCAAAACTCAGCCAAACTGCCGTGCCTTTTAACCTCTGTGATACAAGGCTTGCAAGCAGAAACAATAATATAAAATTGTATATAGTAATATATAAATAATAATTTGGGATAATCTTATGATAATGTTTTACAGATAACTAACTACAGGACATTCATTATTCATAATGCAACATGCCAAACCATTGAATTTGCATAACAAAGATGTGCTTGTGTGTTTGTGTGTGTGTGTGTGTGTGTGTGTGTGCGCACGTGTGTGTGTGTAGATGAGTGCGTTGCAGCAGGCTGAGTCGCGGCTGCAGGCTGAGGTTCAGGACGCTCGGGATCAGAATGAGCTGTTGGAATTCCGGGTGCTGGAACTGGAAGTAAGAGACTGTACCAACGTCAAACTGTCACCAGGAGGCGACAACAACAATCTCAGTTCAAGACACAAGACCTACATACAGTGATTCCCCAGACAGACATACATACTGTTCACTTACACACACTTGAGTTCTCCTCTGTATGCATCCGTATTTTGCATGGCAGCTGTGTGCATACCCCCTCCTCTGAACTGGAATGTTTTTTTTAAATGACAGAATGTTGTGTTAAGATGAATATAATTTTACATTGAATAAAAATGTATTTAAATTAACCATTCAATCCCATCATCTGTTCATTTTGTCTCTCATTTTTGCATGCATGTCCTACGTTTTATTTGCATTTTTCATAAGATAAAAGCTTAGGTATGTGGATAATTAAAAAAAGATTAGCATTGTTGTGTAATTTGGGGAAATGTATTGTTTATATGCTAAGTATTTTCTATTAAATATTAGTTAGAAATATAGATGTACCAAAAGACGTTTAGTTAGTGATCTAGAGGTTTAAAGGCACAACATTTGGAATATTAATTAAATAACCCCTCACTCACATCAGTTGATATTGTATCCATTTATATTGCAGTTGTGTATGAATGTAGTATCTGTTTGAGTTTTAGCATGTGTTTTCAAACATCCTCTTGGTTTGGTTTCCCATTTAAATCTGTGGGTGTCCGCCTCACTCATTTTGGCAGATCTTGACCAATGTTTTCAGTATCATGTAAGTAAATCCCTCATTCACTCCCTTTGCATGCTCATTTACATTCTGTGTCTCACAGTCCACCCCCACCAATGTTATGATGAACTATTACATTACTGTAGGGCTGTGAAATGTTAGTTTGGATGATGCCATGATGTTTTTAGGTGGGTGTATATGAGTATTAATATGGTGTATACCTTCTCTAGGAAAGAGAGCGCAGATCTCCTGCCCTCAATCTCCACATGTCTGCTTTCCCTGAGAACAGCAACAGTGCCCTGCAGATCTACTGCCACCAGGAGGGAGTCAAGGTGATGGCACACTTACACTAACCCTGGCTGTTTTCCTTTTAAGACTACATGAAGTCAATACGACGTGTGTTTGTGACCTCTGTGCAGGATGTAATCATTCCTGAGCTGATGAAGAAACTGGATATCCTGGGGGATAATGGGGTGAGTTTAGATGCATAGTTGGATTAAAATAAGATCAGGCATCTTTTTTAAATCTCAGGAATTGTTATACTTTGTGGTAACTCTGTTATAATTTCTGTAGAATCTCAGAAATGAGGAGCAGGTAGCGGTGATTCAGGCAGGGACGGTGATCTCACTGTGTGAAAAGGTGACTGAGACGTGTTTTTACTGACACATAGTGGACACATTGCCATAACACTTAGTTAATTTCCAACACAGCCACTACATTCATGTTGCTTTTGTTAAGTTAAATATTGGTGAAAATAATACAGTTATTTTAGCTTCTGAGAGTGCATTAATCCCTCGCCTTTCCTCTTTCACCACAATCCCCCCTGTACAGTGGTTGAAGCAGATAGATAGCACAGAGGTTGCCCTCACACAGAAGATGATCGATCTGGAGAATGACAAGGTAAAAAAATCAATATATCATTAAAGTACACAATGTTCAAATGTTTTGAAAATCCAAGTGGTATCAGATACAAATATACTTGACTTTTCACTGTTATATACACAAAAGAAGCTTTTTATCTGCTTGTTTTTTCTGCTGTATTTACTGTACTGTAGTTGTGATACTGCAATGTAATACAATAATCCTGTATTGTATATTATCACATTTTGTTGCAGGAGCTGTTCAGTAAGCAGAAGGGATTCCTTGAGGAAGAGCTAGACTACAGGAAGCAGGCCTTGGACCAGGCCTACATGGTACGGAGCCTGGAGCAGTATGAACTGTCCCTTTTTATACAATAGCTATAAAACCTCTCACGTTGACAAAATGCACTAATTTATATTAATCAATTATAGCGATTGCCAAGGTTGAGTACAAGGCGTAATGGTTCATAATAAAGTTATTCAGGAACGCACAGGGGTACAACATTGTCATTCCAGCATGACACATAAACATTTGGAACACCATTAAACATCATGAATGCAACATCCTCCATGAAGGTAAAATCTGTCACATTGTTGGGATACTGCATCTTTTACCACTGAAGTCTAAATTCTGTGAACAATCTAAGCCACTGAATTGGTAGTTCGCTTGTTGTTTATTGGCCTAATGCTGTTTTATCTTCTGAGAAGGCCAATCACTGATTTATTCTCTCTTAAATAGTAGAAAATAAGATGCCTTTTTAATATCCTGTGTTAGTTAGTTTAAGTGGACAACCAGTGAAGTTAAAGATAAATTGTACACAGAGTGGGTTCAATAAGATTTTAATATTTAGCATGAATGATCTTAAAATATTCTCCTCTCCCAGTGACTTGAATAGGCAGTACCCAGAAAACAGAAGTTAACACTTACGTCACTCTCCGTATAATTCTAACCATTTTATTTGGTCAGTTTTGGTGTTGGTTTGTGTTTATGGTCCCATTTTACATTGTGTTGATGAAGCTTTGTTTTTCACATGGTAGCTTTGATGAAACAGTCAGGCAACTTTAGAAGTCACGAGTAGGTGATTGAGAATGAAACATGGTTTGTGTTGTTAGTAGATTGAAGTTACCATGTGAGGGTCAAGCCTAAATCAGCCTCAATGTAAAATGGAACAGTGTTCCCCATATCTGCCATGGTCACAGTGGTGTGTGTGTGTGTGTGTGTGTGTGTGTGTGCGTGTGTTTGTGTGCATGCCCCCGTGTGTGCTTGTGTGTGTTTGTGTGTGTTTTTGCATGCGCATGTGCACAACCACGTCTGTGTGTGTGTGTACCTGTATGTGTATGTATGTGGCTGGCTGTGCAGAGGATCGAGGAGCTGGAGGCCACGCTGTATAGCGCTCTGCAGCAGGAGCAGCCGGCATGCCAGGCGGTGGCTGAGTCGCTGACAGACAGGCAGAGGGAGGAGCTGAGGCTAGCTGTGGACAAGCTGCGGCGTCAGATTCTCCGGCAGAGCCGGCAGTTTGACAGTCAAATCTTACAGGAGCGCATGGAGCTCCTACAGCAGGCTCAGCAGGTAAGGCTTAAACCAAAATTGAGTTAGGCTACTAAGTGAGTCCTGCCCTCCCTCAATCTGACCCTTGGTCCCTGTCTGAAACGTCTGGCACCACCAGACCTCTGGTGCTTTGAAAAAGATGCAGTATCCCTGTGTGTGCAACCTGTACCTCTGCCTGTAAGTGCATTAGTAGGAGCGAAAAGATGAGACAGAAGGACTTTGTAGATGTGTGTGTGAGTGTGTGTCTATCATTGTGAACCACAACCCCACTCCTTCAGTATCCCTCCACTCCGCAGTGCTCACAGTAGTTTTATACCCATGACTTGTACAGTATCCGTTATTCATTGAGTACATCAACAACCACAGCACCTTCAACTTCATTTGAATCAGTTGTATTGTAATTTATCTCTAACCTCTAACACTTAAAACACATTTAAATCAACTACTCATGAAATATACTAACTAATTATATGTATTTAATGAAACTACTGGTAGAAATCAAGCCCTGAAAATGTAAAGTATTAAAGGCCACAAACTATATATCTGTTATATGTTGTCCATTGTATCGGTCATCAGATTCTGCATCTCTTGTCAATCAATAGTCTAGTAAAATTGTTTCTTCGGTTGGGCTTTATTTTACACACTTTTCCTCCTGGCTGGCTCAAAATGCTTAAGCTGTGTTTGGTCCTTTAGAAATACTCCAAGTATATTTGACAATGGATTTGTATCCTCCTTTTTTAACCCTGAATACACGTAAAGGTACTGCAGTCAGAAAACTATTTTTCTTTGCAGACAAGAAGACTAATGTGTCATTCCACAGTCAGTGAATAAGTTGGTCCGGTTTAAAGTCTCAAAAAATGGAGTCACTTCCACAGTTCGTTGTTAAATCTGCTCTTCAGTTGCCATGGCAGCTCATTCTTACCCAACAGAGCTACCATGGAGACAGAGGGCATGATGGGAAGGGGCAGAGTATATGGAGTATATACATGAATGGATGAATCATGGTGTTAACAACTGTTTCTTATTGTGCAAGTGTGGATGGTTGTATCTGGTCTTAATTTTTATATTTTAACATATTTTGACCAGCTAACCATGTCTGTCTTTGCCTTGCAGAGAATTAGAGAGCTGGAGGACAGGATTGACTTGCAAAAGAGACAAATAAAGGAAATAGAGGAAAAGGTATATATACAAATTTCTTCAAGATTCTTTCTAAGAAGGCTGGTAGAGGAAGTGTGAACTGTAACTTGACTAGGCAAAGATTAGCACAAGAAAACATGAAGGAGTTTACATCTACTGTACTGATGCTGCGTGTTAATTTAATAACTTCTTGACACTTTTTCTTCTCTCTCTCTTTTCACCTGTTGATTAAACCCCTTGTGTTCCTTTAGTTTTTGTTCCTCTTTTTGTTTTTCTCTTTAGCATTTATTCTTTGGCCTTAATGCAAGTGACCGTGGACTAACATCAGGTAGCACCTTTATTCACTGTATCACATCAGTATTTAATACATAATAAATATATATAGTGTTGATAGTAACAACAATAATCATGAGGAAAGACTTATGATGTCTAAAATGTTTCCTTTTCCTTAGGAGTTAAGGTGCTGTGGAGGAAAGCGAGGACGAAACAGATCCTAATTGTTTTTTATGCATTTGTAGAAAGCTCTCAAAAACCTTATGGCCTTTTTGATAAATGTGCAATTTTGCAAAAGACCCTTACCTGGAATGCAAATATTTGAAAACGTAATACATAACCAGATATACATGAGATTAAAATGAGATTTATAAATAACATTTACTATAGTGGTTCTTGGACCTGGAACATTAGACTTCTCCTCTGTGAGAAGCAAACACATGGATTTACTGAGAGAAAACTCTGAATCAGAGGATTTATTAAAGGAAGAAGAGCCACAGCTTCGGTAGAAGGAATGCCCAGTTGGACAATGGAAAAGGAGAGAGGGAGGGAAGAGAAGAAGAGCGAAAGTACACGGTTAGTTTGTGGGTGAACCCGCTGAGTGCCAAGTGGATATGGAAGATTCTGGCAAAGTCCAAAGTCTGTGACGTTTCTAAGGAAACAAGGTGCAACTAAGTTCACAGAGCAGAAACTGAACTCACTGGAAGGTCGTCGCTGGATTGAGAAGATGAAACTACAATCAGTGGAGCAAAAAGACCAGGTTATTATTCAAATTTATCTTTAAGACTACTCTAATTTAAAGTTGCATGACTTTTACTGTTTTTAGAATACCAATCAAAATCTGCAAATGAAGATTTTCTGATTATACAAATGTGAACTGGTTATCCACTGACTTATGTATTCTTGCCTGCATTTAGTTACTTGGCATTAGCCAAAAGCTTAAAACCATCAGGACAAACGGGGAATGATTACCAAAAACGGAGAATATTTTTAAGACAGAAAAAAATGTGAACCTACCCTTTAAGGTTATGGAATTAAAGGATTCGTGAAATGTGACTGACAGGATAATTAGGAGACGAGGTAACCTGAGAGGTACCTGTGCTCGACGACTTGCCACCAAGCTGGTGACATTATGAATAATAGATGCTTGTGTATCTTTTTCTATGTCTCTATTTGTCTTTTTTGATGGAAAAAAAACAAGCACTGCAGAGTGGTGCAGAGAAGATGTGTAACAGTTTTCCGTTTTGTTGTCCTGAACTGAGTTAAGTCTGACACGATCAGTTTCTGTGCCACAGGTAAAACTCACCCAGTGGGCACAGGCTAACCAATGGAGGATCACATGACCTGGTCAGACACTACAGGTACCAGAGGAGTTCTGTCACCATGGTAACACACTTAATGGGAACTGACCAGGACCTGAACTTCGATCTGCGGGTTCTGTGTAACAGAGTGAAGGTCCTGGAGCAGAAAGTTTCAACCCTGTAGTCTAACAGCTACCTGAGGAACAGGTGAGAGACTTGAGGAGAGGGGATCCAGTGACACACACACACACACACACACACACACACACACACACACACACACACACACACACACACACACACACACACACTACTACTATATACTCACTTTTGGCCAAGGTGATATCACATATCACTCGCACCTGACTACTCTGCACACTTACATGCGAGCACTCTGCTGCTAACATCTCCCCTGGAATTACTCAGTGTAGGAGATTTTATTTGCTTTTCTCAAATTGGAAGGTAAAACCTGAATCAACTTTGTAGATTTTTTGATATACCTGTGCAACCTGTGCAGTAAACCTAGCCTGCTGCTACAGCTCTAACAGCTAGCTACTGCCTCCCACCTCCCCAGCATGCAACACTCCCAGAGGCTGGACCAGAGACTCCACATGCTCAGGGAGGAGGTCAGGAACATGGTGAGTGCTTAGGAACCGTCAGTGCATCAATAGGCATGGATGTAAAGCATGAATAGTATAGTGGATGTGTGAGTCTTGCAGGTTGACTTTAGTCACAGGTTTTTACCAACTAAGTTCAGTGTAGAAGAGATAGACCTTGACTTTAACATAACTTAAATAAAGTGGATAACTGGCAGCACTTGTCTGGCCTTGCGATCAGCACAAGTTTAAAGTAACATGTGACAAATAACAGAGCTCTAAAGAGACTGTCTTCATCTGTCTGTCAAAGATATGACAAAATATTTAATATGTAAGGTAAACAATCCTGACTAACTCACAAAGATGCAATATGTATACTATACAGGACAATGTTTTACTTACTGGCATGCAGTTTAGTCACAACTGTAACAATGGTTCTGTTTCCTATGTCACAGTTAGTCTCATTTAAATGATAAAGTGTTTACATTATTATGTCAATGCAAGTTAGATTTTTCTTGCTGGGATTTAATTACCTTTTTGGTGTAAATGTAAATTAAATTGTCGAAATCCAAGTTACATTTGTTAGACAATTTTTGTATTGTATATGTGTTTTTAAATGATTACAATGTGGTGGTTTGATAGATTTTTTTTTTTTTTAATTCCCAGTTGGGAAACTGGTTTGTTTGCTCATGCACAGTAAAAACAAAATAGACACAGTACAGATTAAAACAAGTTTGATTAACAGGATTACTAGTATAACTATAAGGTTGGGTTTCCAGACTCTATTGTAGTATCTCTTTTTTAATATTTTCTCTCTGCCTCCGTCTTTCTCTCTTTCCCTCTTCCATCTGGCCCAGACCCAGGAGAAGGAGCGAGGGGAGAGGGTATGGAGGGATCGACTGCAGCGCTGTCAGAGGCAGCTGAAGGCCAAAGAGGAGGAGATGAGTCGCCAGTCCCTGTACTTCGAGAACTTTAAAACCCAACTCCAGCAAAAGCTTAGCCTGGCCCAGGACAGAGAGCAGGGCCTACAGAACCGGATTTACACTTTAGAAAAGCAGTTACTGGACATGACCGTGAGTGCTGCCACTGGCGTGGCAACGATCAGTGCAGTCAGATTCACTGCCGGGACTGTGACACAACAGGAAGAACAAGAGAGGCTACTTTCCATGAGAGGAGAGGGCGAAGGAGAAGAGGAGAGAAAGGAGGAGAGGAGGAGGCAATGGCAGCCAAGTGTGGGAGTTGAGAGAGAAGGAGGGCGAGAGGGTGATGAGGAAAAGAAAGAGACACAAGGGGGAAGAGTTAAACTGAAAGACACAAAACAGAACTCAAATGAAGCCAGGTTGCAAGGCTTCATCCTGAGCCTGCAGGAGGATCTCAGGGTGCTGCTGGAGAGAGAGGAGGATGGGATGACAGAGCGGAGGAGACTGATGGAGCAGCTCCAGGAGGCCCAGGAGAACAGCCACTTCCTGGGCTGCAAGGTGGAGGAAATGAAGGCAGAGGCGCACCAGCTGAAGGTGTCTGAAAGCTCCTTGATGGAGGAGATTGATGAGCTGAGAGGTGCGAACCACAGACTCCGGCAGATCATTGGGGATGCAGATAACCAAACACCCAGACAGTCATCCAGAGTCCCTGAGTCCACGTGCACAGGTCCTGGGACCAGCTTGCCCAGCTGCAGTCCTGCTCTGCCCTCCAACAATCTCTCACATACTACAACCATTGGACATTTCTCAATGGGGAGCTCTGGAGAGGTACGTAATAATAATCATCATCATTATTATAACCTTCTTCCCAAGTTTACCATTTACTTGTGGGATATCAAGTGTAAGCCATTCCTGAGATCTCATCTGATGATCTTAAATTTGAAAAGAGATATAATAGTGGGAGGTCTAGTAGGAGACATTTATTAACAACAGTGCTGTGTGCAGCTCTCTTCTTATTGCTAGTGACGAGCAGCCAACTTTTTCATACAGCACACAGTGATGAGTATTATTTATTATATATTATATATTGAGTAATATTTGGCTGCTGCAGTGAAACACAGGGCACAGAGGTAAACTGCATCAAGTTGTTTTAAAGAGGTCTTATTATGCTTTTTGGCTTTTTCCCTTTCCTTTATTGAGTTATATGCCTTTTTGTGCATGTAATAGGTTTGCAAAGTGAAAAAGCCCAAAGTCCAGCCCAAAGGGAGTTCCCATCTCCCACAGAAAACTCTGCTCTGAACTGCCTGAAAACAGCTCGTTTGTAGTCTAGCTGTTTCTGTTTCATCCCTATGACGTCACAGGGATGAAAGCTAAATGTGTCTCATATAACGCTCGCCAAGCGGCTAGTCCGACACGCCCTCAAAAACACCGGTGGAAAAACGCTGAGCTGCAGCACACCTCTCCTCTCCCTTCCAAACACTAGCTACCCTCCAGGCAGTCGATGGACATAAAGTTGTTACTGTGATGTTGAGACAGAGCTCAGTTAAAACTTTATGGATGAAAGATACATTTGTTACAGATTAATAACTCACCACTCTGAAACTCTTGCTCCAGTCTATGTTGTCAAGCTGGTTGGCAACATGTACAGCTGAAACGAAGCGATGTTTACCGGATTCTCATTGGCCCACCCTTCTCTGCTTCTGATTGGCTAGTAGTCCTTAACTAGGAAGTGCGCACGTGCAACTCCCAACAAATATCATTTAGAGGCAAGATGTATTGCTCCATAGCTAAAACGAAGCCTTCAACACACAGGGTGAAAAGAGGAGCTGCAGCAATGTGCAGTAGGACAAAAAAAAGTTAGTTTTTTTTAATTAAATCATGTAAACCTGTTCTGGTACAACCCCTAAATAGGATTTTGAACCTCAAAATGAGCATAATACCACCTCTTTAAGGTGGAAATGAGCAACCTGAGAATATAGGACATCTCACAAGCACAGGTCGGGAACAGACGTGATGGTCGACTGCACAACAGTTTTTCTGTCCTCAAGAGAAGAAAACATGCTCTGTTACGATAAAAGAAACCCGTTCTTCTGGTTCTGTGCCTGTTGGTTTAAATATGAGACTGCTACAGTGTCTAACCAAATTCCCAGGTCTTTATAAGATTGAACAAATTCAGTGCCATTATGAGTATGGACACCAAGAATTATGGGTTCATGAGAATAAAATACTCACATAAGGAGCATTTGTTGAGGTCCTGTATGAATCAAGAGGATTATTAGTGCCAATCACACAAATTCCTGTATTCCTATTTTACAACTCTAGACAAACACATTTAAGATCAAGTGATCGATCTGGGACAAATGATTATTTTGAATGTAGTCAGTTGTTTTCTGCGATGGATTTTCACCAGTGGCTCACTGTAGACAGGCCAAATATTGTTAAAAATAACATAAGGAGCAATAAAAATTCAATCTGTTACTATCAGCTTAATCTTGTAAATTCCTACGTGTAATATCATGAGAAGGTATTACAGCATAAAAAGGCTGAATGCTCCTGAATAGTGAAAGCTCTCTTGATAGGATTTAGAGTATTACATAACCACCTCCCCTATTGTAAATGCTTGTAAAGTGAATCTGAATATCAGTATTTTACTATAGCTGACAGATACATACATTTGGATTATTTTTGTTATAATATTAAATGTTTTGTCATTTTCATGTTTAAATAAATGAATGTTCCACATCTGTGATCTCTGTGTAGGTCCATCACACCTCAAATGAGGAAACAGGCCAGCCTCACTCATCTCCAGTTCTACCTGTTCACCACCAGGCTGCAGCAGAGCACACAGACTAATACAGAGGAACACTCCTCTGCCAAAACAGAAACTCCACCTAAAAATGATCCTCTGAACCTCTTTTGCCACCTTGGCTCCAAAACCAACCCCAGCCTCCAGTCCCTTTCATTGACTGCAGAGACACTAGAGGAGTTTAAACTGGGGACCTGGTGCTCTAGTGAGATCCTAAACCTGGAGGAAAGCCCCAGTGAGGAATCTGATGCCCTGAAGGAAGCCTACAGGAGCTTGGGGTTGGGGGAGGATCTTGAAGCACTTCAACAACAATGTAACCGCCTGGAAGTCACCCTGCAGCACACGCAGGAGCAGCTGCAGATGATGGCTCAAGAAAATACTCGACTGAAATTACAGCTCAGGAAAGAGGCAGAGGAAGAACAAGCTGAGGCACAGCAGGGGTCTTCAAGAGAAAAGGTATGTTGCAACTGCAGTATTCCCAATTATTTTATAGCACTGAAATGACCAGTTTTCAATAAAGTAGTGTGTCACTCATCAAATTCTACCTCTTTATATACTCAGATTAGCACACTACCTGCCAGTGATGGGGAGGATGATCTTGTCAAGGCCCTGAATCAGGAGAACCGGGCTTTAGCAGACCGGATCCGGCAGCTTCTGGGTCACATTGAGGTCAGAGAAGAGGAAATCAAGAGGGGGGAAACACAGCTACGGCAGCATATCACCATCGTAGAGGCGGACAGAGTCAGGCTGGAGCAGGAGAACCAGGAACAAGGGTGTTTGATCACAGAACTCAACCAGAAGACTGAGGATGATCTCAATACCATCATGGAGCTGCAGCAAAGGTTAGAGGAGAGCCAACAGCATATGGAGGAATCACACTTTGACAAGGAACCGTGTGGATCTCAATTGCAAGGTGAATATACAGCTGCAATATCAGGAAGTTTTCAACACAACAACCTTGAAGAATGTGTGGACATTTTGGTGGAAAGGGTGTTAAACGGGGAAGAACCACAGCTGATGTCCAGTCAACAACCAGACAATTTGACTACAGCTTCAGCACCTGGTTCTCAACATAATAATTGCTATGATCCCTTGCAGAACGGAATGCAAAGCAGTCAGCATGTTAGTTCGCTGACTGATCAAGTGCACCTGCTGACCAAGTCAGTCCAGAGCCTTAAAACAGAACAAGAGGAACTGTCTGGTGACATAAATTCTCTCAGAGAGCAGCAGAGAGAGGTGGCAATGTCAGTCCAAACACAGACAGAAGTGAAGCAGCAGTTAACTCGGACAGTTTGGGCATTGAAAGAGGAGAGAGACAGCATCTCTCAATCTCTGGCTGGTCTCAAACAGGAGAGAGAGCAGCTTACCAGGACAGTCTATGGGCTGAAAGATGAGAGTAACCAGTTTATAAGGTCTACAAGTGGCCTGAAAGAGGAGAAAGAGCATCTAACTGAGGCTTTATCTGCTCTCGAAAGAGAAAAAGAGAAACTGTTAGAATTTCTCTCAAGGGGAAAAGCGGAAAGAGATCAAACCATGCAGTCAGTACAACGTTTACAGTCAGAGAGTGACCAGTTAAGCCAGGCAGTGCTCTATTTGAAACAGGAGAGAGACGAATTAACCAATTCCCTTAAGTGTCTGAAGGAACAGAGAGATAAGGAGCAATCATCTTCCACTTTGCAAGAAGACCAAGGCGAGTTAAAAAAATCAGTAAGCAGTTTGCAAGAAGAAAAAGAAAGAATTGAAAGTTCAATCGGTTGTTTGAAAACAGAAGAAAAGCATATAAAGCTATTACTTCAGGGCCTAAGAGAGGAAAGCCTCCAAGCTGCTCTGCCCAGCCAAACACAAACAGAAGGGAGGGATCAGAAGCAGCATCTGCTGAATCCAAACACTGCTGTTACGACGAAGAAGACTAAGACTTCTGTTGGGACAGACGAATATGCTACACAAAGATGTCAGACGGATGACCACAGCGGGACCTCTCTACTTATGCAACATGTTTTTGATGGAAAACAGGTGCAAAGTGATCTGATGAGGGAGACTGAAGCTTTGGGAGCAGAACTAAAGAGGTCGCGACACGAACTGGAGAAGAGCCATGTAGATGTGAGTTTACACAACTTCGTTCGTGTACATTTGTTGTGATAGAAAATAATATATATTAACTTTGGACACTCTGTTGATTAAACAAAATAGCAGTAGTTGGACAAAACAATCCCAATTCAAGGTCCACTTACTAGCTTTAGCTTTTAATCTCAATCTGAAAGAGAAAGACGACACAGCATCCTCATCATGCTACAGAGCTTGACTTGACTTGTGTCAATAGGAGCAGTGGTTAGAGTGGAGATTCCCCTAATTTAATGTGTTTATGTTCACATTTGTGGCATGTAAGACCAATATGTTGCACAGTGAATTGCATCAAGCGGAAGTCAGGAGGGAGGAAGCAGAGAGAAAGGCCGCAGCTGACGAGGTGATGAGGCTGACAGATGTAGCCAATCAGATGGAGGAAACCAGAAAGGAAAACGACAGCCTCATAACCCAGGTATTGAACTAGATATACTTTACAAAAAGACATGCACACATTAAAACACATATAGTACACAGAGTTAAAACATCATATTTGGAGTTGCTCTGACAGAGCACCTGCCCTAATTAGCCTTCATAAGACCATATGAAGCCCTAAATATGTCCTGTTGTTTGGACTCCCTCTGATATTGCTTTTCACTTACTTTTCCAGGGACAAACTCAAGTAAAGACATTGTTTATCTGTTATCTGTGTCTATCATTTATTTAGACCTAACCAGTGTTTGTGTTTTCCGTAGGTGAAGCAGCTACGGAGCGAACTGACAGGACTGGTCAGGGAGAAGACTGATGCTCTGTCACTGAAGGCACAAATAGAGGAGCAATATAACATCCTTACAGCTCAGCTCAAAGCCAAGGTAAGAGTGGCAGACTATCTTTCTTTTTCATTTGTTATGTACCATAAATTAGTTCTTAGTGCCTGTATGTGGCGCTTTATTATAATTTTGATCTAACTATTCTAACTGTTAATTAACTAACTAATATAAGTATTTGATATTTGAATCTGTGTGATGTGTTGATGCTTCATCTGAAGTTAAAACACATACCACATCTGAATCTGCAGTACAGACAGACCAGGTTAAAATGCTCACATTCTTTATTTCTTGTTTGTGAGTAAATTGAAGGTCTTGAGTGGTTCACTGTTCTTCAGTTGCTTCATCACAGATCTGTTCCCGTGTGTGTGTGTGTGTGTGTGTGTGTGTGTGTGTGTGTGTGTGTGTGTGTGTGTGTGTGTGTGTGTGTGTGTGTGTGTGTGTGTGTGTGTGTGTGTGTGTGTGTGTGTGTGTGTGTGTGTGTGTGTGTGTGTGTGTGTGTGTGTGTGGGTTGGTGTGTAAAAACCTCCCAGACGGTGGCTCTAGAGGAGCTAAACTCAGAGTACATCGCTCTTAAACGAGGTCAGGGCAGCAAGGAGGATCCGGGCACTGTTCTCGTTTCACTCAGGACACGTTACAATGACATCAGAGTGAAGGTGTGCAGTCCATGATGATCAAAGCACTTAGTTGTATGTTATGAGCTGATAAGTTTTTATCTTTATCTTATATACAGTCGTTTTCACATGTTTAATACTATACTTTGTTTGTACTGTAGTATGATGCACTCCTGAAAAAGAAGAGCCAGAATGATCTGGAAATAGCTCCTTTAAAGGTGAGGGAAGAGACATATAGCTTTTTATTCTTTTATTAAGTGTTCCTTTATTATTATTGTGTGCTGCAACACTTAACAGTACTGACAGCTTTTGTCCTGTGTCAATAACAGTTGAGTTTGACTGACAGGTGTTTTGTCCAATAACAGGCCAAGCTGTCTTGCCTGGTAGTGAAGTGTCAGGAGAGGAACAGCTTGTTGTTTCAGATGATGAAGGCCATGCACAGACGAGGTTGTGTGGACTCCACACTCACGCAGCAGGTTGAGCAGCTGCTCAGTGACGCGGCTCTGCAGGACTACGCTGCAGCATTCACACCACGGAGCGTGAACGTAAAGACCCGGGATTATAGTACTTGGTTTACACCAGGATTTTTTAAATTTCAAGACTACACCAACGGGCTCACACCTGATCAGACCTGCTCCACCATACCCACAGTTGTAAATCAGCATTACCAAAATGGACTCACAACTGAATCCAGAGTAAAATGTAGAGAATTAAAAAGTGAAAAACACAGATCTTCAGTCACCACTGAATCAATGACAAAACATCAAGATTGCAGTAGTGAAGTCACACTTGCATCAACAGTAACACTAAAGGAAAATGCCAACTCACCAGTGCAAGAGCATGCCAGCGTCCAAGCGACACCATCACCTGTTGTTCCTTCACCGAAAGCGAGCTTGATCACTACGGCACAGGTGATATGATACAAACACATTTATATTCAAATATTTCTTTGGTTCATATGTTTGTAGATGTAGCATTTTAACAGCAAAAATAAGCCATTACTACATTCAATTTCTGAAATAATTCTGATGAATGAACATGAACGACAGCAGTTCATGGCTTCCATAATGTATTTCCTTTTTGTGCTACTATACCTGAATTAATAAAAAATATGCTACATTGCTTTACAGAACAAACAAATTCATTTATGGTCTCCAAAAGATAATCTCTTCCAAGATTTTATTTACAACTGACTTTATGGGAAATGCGCTCCTAATTAGAGCACTAGCATAAAATAATTCTTTTTAAATCTGGGCCTATTTTCACATATTTTGGTGTCAAAACTTGTAAGTACAAGTTTTGGAATGCACGCAGTAGATGGCTTCAGTTGGCAGGTGTCTGACAGCATCATGGAAAGGATGCCTGCAAGTGTCTCCGAGCAACACCCTTTGTTTTTAACCGGACAGATGTCTCGCTTTAGGACAATTCATGCTCTGAAATCTCGTGAGAGGTGAGTTGTTGTAGGAAGACGACAGTGGAAACGTGAGTTGGAGAGAGGATTTGTTTTTGTTCATAGGGTCACTGCACTGCATCCGGTTCACGCGAAAGCCATATACTGCATGGATTCAAAAACCTGTTAGTACCTACTAGTCTTTTTGACCCCAACATATGTGAAAATACGGCCAAGGCTTAAAAATAATGACATTTTCCTTTAAAACTGTAGTCAGGTGAATATAGAAACAGGTTTTGCTTGCTGTAATCATTACCATTGTGAATCTGTCCTTTAAGTAATATACTAGTGTGAGAAAGAAGCTGCCAATTGTGTCAGCCATAGTCTCATTTGTGTATTGTAACCATAACAAGTTTTCAATGTTAACTTGACATTAATATTTCATGTTATTCTCAATCCTACCACAGCTCTCTCCCGCTGCCAGTGGATCAGTTCAAGTAACCAGTGGACCCGAGAATCTTGGATTTCATCATCCAGACATGAAAGGGAAGTCTTCCCTAGATCTGGCCAGTTCGACTGGATCCTCACGGAGTCCCACTCCTCCCTCCTCCAACACACGTGTGAGCCGGGGCAGGAGGCTGAGTAGCCCTGAGAAGATCATCAACCTACACGAGCAACTGCAGAAGACTTTAATGAGCAGCTATCAGGTATACTGAAGCTTTCTGAACATGCAGCATTACATAGATGCAGTTTAGTGTTGAAGTGTGAGTAACATTACTCTTAGCGTATTATTTTTTAAATTATTTTTCAAGTGGTTATTCAAACTCACGTGTGCACACAAGATACATGAAGAAGATGTAGCCAAATATGATGTTAGCATGTGTTAAACAAATGTGTTTCTCTCAGGCTCCAGTGAGCAGAGGAAGAGGATCTCAGCCCAGGGAATGTCTCCCGTTTCCAGCTCATACAGACCTGAGACCAGCCTCTCAGACAAAGACGCAGAGCCTCACTTTCAGTATATCACATACCAACTCTCTCCTAGTCACCACTCCTTCGAGCCCAGCTAAGCACACTCCAGCCGTGACAGCCACACATGTTGCCACTAATAAGTCAACAACACTATTTGATACAGTCTCCTCAAGATCTGCTAGTGTTACATTCGGTACCAACATGTTTACTGACTTTAAAGCAGACAGATCTAAAACCACAACGTCTGCACTTTCTAGCTCTTATAACTTTCCATTTGCCACTATGGCACCTAGCAAATCCACCTCAAGCAGTGCCACTAATGGAGCAATATCCCCAAAACAGACCATGAAAATCACTGCTATTCCTGACCTGTCTGATGCAAAACATACAGCTTCTACTCCTTTAACCTTCGACTCTGATGTCTTCATAAGTTCTGACACCAATCCAAAAACCACTGCCTCAGACACAACTGCCCGTAGCATATCAACTGCCCCCAAGGCTAATCATTTTAACAGGCCTTCTAAAACGGATGGTGCTTCCCCTACATATGATAGGCTTGTATCTGCTGCATCCTGCGCTCATTCTGCCCATCGCTCTCCTGAGAGATCCAACAAGTCTGCCAGAAAGTCTGTAACTGCTCTTGAAAAAACAAAGTCAGCAAGACCAGGTAATTGAGATTACTCACACAAAGGCAAAACACACCATTGCTCAAAGCCCCGATAGAAGAAATTCATATTTTATGCAAAGTTGAAATGCCTTTATTGATTTGACAGTAAAACAGCATTTGCTAAAACTTTGCACAAGAACATGTTGTAGCTTCGGTGCATAATATTGCAGTTAATGATTGTAGATTATTACTTTTTAGTTGTACACTGCTGCAATGTGATTATACCCAGCTTAGATATGGGCCATTCTCTGTTTTTGTAATGAATAAAAAAATAATGTTGTATAATATTCCAGCACAAATTCTGGCAGTTTGACATTGCCCTGTTTATTGCTCACATACATTAACACATTGCGTTACAGCACATGCCTATAAACCTTTACTAAATCGTTTGAATTCTTTAGTAAGTTCAGTATACAGGAGCATCCTGCTATGCTCATTTGTTGTGGTAGAATTTTAAAGTTAAAGGTAAACCATAAAAGCAACCTGCTATTTAACAAAGAAATATATTAGTGCACATTTAGGCTGTACTGTACCCTGTGTTAACAGCATCACAAGCATTGCATTGTACAAGCAAGATAGGGTGCTGTGCTTGATCATTCTTTGCCCGATCACCTGCAGAAGCTCCAGCTGAGGTTCGCTCTGTTGAGGTCATCAAAACAGTTGGGCAGAGCAGCCTCATGATTGGCTGGGAGAGGCCACCACTTGATGAGCTGGGCTGCAGTAACGGCACATTTGTGTACGGATACAGGGTAGGCAGAACAAACTACAGCAGCAGGCAGACAGACACATGGACTTTGGAAGTTGCATTGGTCTAAAAGCTTCTTGTATTATTTCGTGTCACCTCTCAGGTGTTTGTAGATGGGGATTTTCACAAGTCTGTCATGAGCTCAGCGTGCACCAAGGTATCAGTCTCTCTCCTGACGCTTAACAGCTGTGCATTGTTGCATCCTGTTAAACTTAATAACAGCCATCCACTGCATTCACTTTCCACAGTGTATTCTGGAGAATGTTGACCTGAGCGTCCCAGTCCACATCAGTGTCCAAACGCTTGGCTCTAATGGTCTCGGTTCAAACAGTGTCCACACCATGTATGGGACTGACCACCACTGACTCAGTGTCCTGAATACAACAAACATAATGGTCCAGAGTCCACGAGTAAGTATAGTAATATTGAATAAGACACCCCTCTATCCTAGATTTTACTGCATCTGATTTATAAGTGTTTTACTATCTTGTCAGTGTCTTTGTAGGATTACAGAAACTCCTTGGTGAAAACCTTAACTGCCAGTGGCCAAGGTTTGAATGGTCAGTTGTGTGCATCGCTGTGTCCTTGTGTTTGTATATCAGTCTACACAAAGTATGGTCGAATGTTTTCATTTTGTCATGCATGTTTTGCTTTATGTATGTGAAACAGCAGTAAAACAACTTCCAGATAAATATAAAATTAAAGTGAAATCGAATCTAATGTAATTGATATTTTAAAAAGTGCTTAAAGATACTAACACTTGTGTGACAATTTTCACAAATTTTTCCCTTCGTCCTGTGTGTCCTGTGTGTGTGTGTGCGTGTCTGTCCTTCAGCCAACTATAGCTGCAGTCCTCTGAGGGGCCGTCCTAACCTCCACCTCAGCAAACAGCGAGGGAGACGCCGTCACACTGCCTCAGGCTCAGGTCAACCAATCACAAAAAATCGTCTCACGTTGTCTTTACCAGCCTATGAACATGCAGTGACCTATGGCCGGCCGCTAAACCTCAAAATGATTAACTTAAGATGTCAAACAAAATACAGTGTAAGATTCCTGCCTCTGTGCTGAGAATTAATTTGCATGTCAGAGCAGATCCTTGTTGGAAGAACTTCCTGTGTCAGAGTCCCTCCTACTGGATTCACCATCCTGGAATGGATAGGACGTTGTGTTTGCCAGGTAAAAAGGCCGGAGCGGCTGCCAATCAAACAGATCCTGACAAACTGATAAAAACACTACAAACACTACACTACAAACTATATGAAGCCAAGATCAATCACATTGTCATAAGCTGCCTGTGATGCCAACATTCACTAACATTGTTCAACCAAGACAGAAAATGTTGGAGGGACGTCTGCATCTTGCTGCACATTTTAACACTGTGTTAAACATTGAGAGATCATGTGGCATATTGCTTCATCAGCCTCTCTGGACTCTGTGACACGAACCGTTGGTTAAAGGGACATTCACTGTATGAAAAGCCTTTTCAAGGCAACACTCACTGTATAATGTGCCGACCCAACCTTGTACCCGAAGCTCATCTTACTTGATTTTTACACACAAAGCCAAATACGAGAAAAGACTCCAAAGACTTATCAGTTTCCTTGTCCTCATAGGTCTACGGGGTTTACTTCAAACAAAGAAGCCAGGAGATTTCTGGAATTTGCACACATATGATATCTAGAAGATAAAATTTAAAAAAGAGATTATCACTGATATTTTTTGTAGAGAATATTATAAAAATATGCCAATGTACCACCTACTGTCTTTTTGTATGAGTGGCACTTTGTTTTTCATGCCTAATAGATGTTATGTTTGCACGCTCACATTGTTTTTTTATTTTATACAATTTCACAACACACTGTATGATGTTCTTTTGCTACTTAATGTATGTATGGGTGTGGAGTGGTCATGGTGCAGCAAACGTATTTTTCTATCATTAATTGAAAATATTGATTCCCAATTGATTCCTTACGACTGTACAGAGAATAAATGTTTATATAATATTAACTGTCACTCCAGTGTCTGTGTGTGTATGTAAACATATGTAAGATATTAAAACATTTTGGTTTACAAATTCTTGTTAAAATCAAATCAGGGTTGAAATTTGGCCACATGGATAATACATTGCTGTCCAAAACCATGTATCTCCAAATGATTGATTTTAAATATTTCTGATAAATTGAAGCGTGTCTGTATGGGCTAAAAAAACTTTTAAACCCTAATTGATTATCTGAAAAATGCATTGTCATAAAAGTAATTTAAATCTTAGCTCATGAAAGGTAAATGTTTTGGAGATACATGGTTTTCATAGGACAGCAAAAATGGGGTTCTCTAATAATGAATTATGAAACTTAGCTTCATTTTCTTTAACCTTACCTAAACACTTCCCATTCATGAACACTAGATGGCAGCCATTCATGGATGAATGTGGGCAGTACTGTGTGTGTGGTAGAGAGAGATGCTTTCAGCAGAGATTTAGTAGAGTGGATGATGCTGACGTGCATACCAAGGAGTGGTCAAGTAGTTTAAAAAAAGACCTTAATAATCACATTCTCAGTTCTCAGCTGCTTTGGAAGCTCCTCTGAGAACGTCATCTCTCGTGCTCAGCAGAAAGAGTACTAGGTGGAGGAAGAAGAGAAATAGAGTTTGTGTGGTATAGGTGTAGAAGTGAGTTTAGCAGGAAGTACCCCAAACTGTGAGCAAAAATACTTTTTTTAACCTCTGCTCCTCTTCCTCTTTTCCTGTCTCTGTTACTTAGTACACAGACACACTCTAGATTCTCATACCACAGATAGTTGTTGTAGTAAGTAGTGTAGTAGTAATAACAGAAAAGTTAGCTGTTATGCATCTTACACTGTCATTTTTGCAGCGGTGGAAGTAGGCTATAGTTACTCAAGTACTGTAGTTAAGTACAAATTTCAGATACTTGTTTGTAATTTTCTTGAGTATTTACATTTTGTGTTACTTTTTACTTTTACTTTATCACAATTCAGTGGGGAAATTGTACTTTTACTCCACTGTATTTATTTGACAGCTTTACTTTACAGAACAAGATTTTCTATACAAAATATGACGCACTGTTCTAGATTAATCTACCCTACAGTATATCAGCTAGTTGAAATAAGCTCCACCTTGACCAACTATAACACTAAAATGCTACTGACATATTAAAGCATCAGTAATAATAATGCAATAATATATAATACACACAGGGGCCATACATTTTGCTTGCAAGACTTGTAATTAAACTCTTTTATATTGTGCTATTGCTACTTTTAAAGTATTTGAATACTTGCATTCAAGCATGAACAACACACTCAACAACTGTAGTCCTGCACTGCACCAACTAAAAAAGCTTCAATATAAACTGCAGTTCAGTTTCTTGACGCAGCAGGTCCTTGAATCAGCTTAAAGAAGCTTAGCTGGACCCGCAGGACTCTCATTACACTCTCCTGGGAGACTCACCTTCATTATTAACACACACTCCAACATATGCGGTGCACACGCCTCAGCACAGTAGTGTAGGTTTAATGTCTTGTTTACATAAGTTAATGACATCGGTGTTAATTAATTTTCCGTGCTGGGTGTTAATGATGCCAAGCTCAGCTCTGACTCTCCATATGTAGGCCAACATGCGAGTTCTAAGGTGACGGAGGAGAGAAACAGGAGATGTAGATTAAAGGAGGTTTGTAAGCATGACTTGTCACAGGGGTGCCAATAACAACAACAGCTGGGCTCAAGCTTCCTGCAAAAATATTCTGTGGTGACGTTTAAAGACACTTCTGGAGCTTTCCCTGTGTTTTGTGTGTGCTCTGCATATGTGGCTCAGAGTGTGTCAGCACTGCAGGGGATATCTCCTTTTTGCAGGAGTGTGTGTGTGTGTGTGTGTGTGTGTGTGTGTGTGGGAGGAGGGGGGAGGGTGTTGCTGGAAAAGGAGCGGCAGATGAGAAAGAGGAGAGGAGGGATGGCATGTTGAGGTTTTAATTTCACCCAGAAGGGATGTTGTCACTCCATCACTGCAACTGCCACTTGGAGCGTCCTGGGGCTCAAGTGTGGTGGTTGGTCTGGAGTCGACTTCCAGACCTCCAGGGCTACTCTTGCTGCTCACACCCGGAGATGAGCTCTAAAAGTAGTGTCCTCCCGCTGCTGCGTCTGGGCAGATGGGTCTTGATACTGGAAGGTTGTTGTGTTGAGTCTGTCATACAGCAGAGTTGTGGTTGTGTTACTATCCCTGCTGAGTGTGTGCGTGTCACTGTAGGCATGTGTCTGCTAAGTGTTAGAGCTCGCAGGGATATTGTCATATTATGCAAACACGCTAAGAATGTCATCACATGAAAATAACCAGCTGCTGAGCGGTTATGCTTATTATATGTGCACATGTTTGGCGTTTTGGATCTTGTCTTTCTCTCCACAGTGGTGTAATGCCCCTTTTATTCCCACCATCTACTGTGTCTGTCGTTCTGGCTGTATCAGTCCATCTCAGTCCCTGTTATATTTATAGGCAAAGCACTATCAGAGCTTCCAGCTGGCCGCCTGTGATTCAATTCTGACAGATCTACAGCTACAGCAAAGCAATCTCCTCTGTTTTTGTCTCATTTTTCTGCCCATCGCCTCCCCCTCTCTTTTTCTCTCACCCCCTTGTGTCCTCTCTTTTCTCTTCACTTCTTCCATCTCCTCTTCTTTTGTCTTTTTTATTACTTTCACCTTCAAACTTCAAGCCAATCTCAGTTATTTTTCTTCCTTGTTTGTACTGTTTCTTCACACAGCTTAATCTCTGTATTTCAACTCTTTCATACAATCTTCATTCTCTCCTTTAATTGTCACCATTTTTCACCCAAGTCGTTTATATTAATGCCCTTTTCTGCTTTTCTTGTTGCTTCGTCTTTGCCAGTTTTCCCCTTTTTAGGTCATTTTGAAGTGCTTTATTGCTGTTGTGCGCCATGAAACTCTATATCTCTTCTCTAGTTCCCTTTCAATTTTCTCCATGTCTTCATCATCCACAGTGCCTATCAGGTACGCTCTATCCTGCCAGCACAGAAATGAGAGCGTCATCACTTTAAGCAAATCCATGTTGAAACAAACATCAAATAACACAACTTCTAATTTGGGAAGAGACAAGCAATTAGCTGCTATTACATCCTCGAATCTGTGCAGCAAAGGCAACCCTAATCTCATTAATCATGAACAATGGGTGCAGTAATAGAGAAGCGTGTTTATGCAAATTCCCCCACACAGTAATCTCCTTCATGCTTAATAGCCAAAACAGTGGTGGCGCCTCAGCAAACAATCCTCCCCCTTCTTTTTCTCCGCTGAACCGCCTCTCCTCTTTCTTTCTTGTTTTTATACTTCTCATGCATTTTCCTTCATCCCACCTTCCTCTGCTTTCATGAAGTGTGAACCAGAACATTCAGAGTCTGTGGAAAAGTATTGATCCCGGTCCCTGGCGAGCCTTTCTGTTTTATAGCAAATAACCCTGAGACCGTATGGGGCTTTGGGTTTTACACCCCACCTGCTCTTGGCAGACTCCACAGCTCATTCCCCTTCTCCTCCATCAATTCTCTCTATTCCTTGTGTTTTTTATGCCTTTCATTTGCATTTTTATTGTTTCATTGCTTGCCTCTCTTTCTGTCTTCCCCCCATAGTGTCTGTTTACATCTATTCCTTCATTTCTCCTCCTCTTTACATTACAGTTATTGCTGTTTTTTTAAAATGTATTTTGTGTTCTAGCCCTCAGTCCAGGAACCATATGTGATTCAAGACTAAATATAGCCCAGAAGGACATTATAAGATTACGTCCCTGCATCCTCTTTCTCCTTACTTATCTCTCCTGTGCTCTTTCTTTTTGTCTCTCTTTTGGACTCGAGTTATGTGCTAATGTCAAATGATGATGATGATGATGATGAGTGCTGTGCAATGGCTGGTCAAGATGGATCAGGGGCCTGGGAAAGGTCAAATGCATTTGATCCATTACAAGACTGGTCAAATACAACTCGATCGTTTGATTGGTAAGCCCGCTCTTTGAGATGCTGCCTTGAAGTAATACTGATGAGTTGAGATTGGGATTTAAAATTATAAGATTATAAAGAAAGATTATAAAGCAGAGGATATTGCGATAACCTAAACATATTTTAACATTAATGTACTGTTGTAGTACCTTCAGTGGCAGAGAGTAACCAAGTACACAAAGTACTAATTTTGAGCTGGCTACTTGAGGATTTCCATTTTGTGCAACTTATACTTTTTACTCTGCTACACAGTTACTTTACAGATTAAGATTTTACATACAAAACATATTACAAGATATAAAACAAGATCCACTGTTGTCACTTTTTAAACTATCCGTCACCTCATATGCATGGTATCTTTTTTTTTCAGCACAAACTCAGCTGTATGTCTATTAAACAGACAAAATGACATGAAAAAAGTATGACGCTGCCAGGATCCAAAATACATGAAATATATAGCCTCTATAAAAATGTACAAATCCTTAATCATAATAACACAAAATATTATTATAGAACAGTAGAACACAATATTGTTTCAGTATTTACACACACAAAAGAAAAACTATAATACAGTCTATTTACATGTATAGTGATTTTATCATTAGCTTGTTTTTGTGCCTTTTTCATTGAAAGTCTGGATGCCTCTAAATCACTGATGATATTAAGAAGTCAGTTTTAAACATTTCATAGAATGTTTTTTAGATGGTCTACAAACATAAGCACTTTCAACTGGTTTCCTCAGCATGTCTCTAAATGATATATAAATAAATTATAATAAACATTATTATAAATAAAACATGTTCACTGTATTCACCAATATGATTGAATAGGAGATTCCAATAATATATATATATATATATATATATATATATATATATATATATATATAGTATATACTGAAAAGAAACACTCCCATTCTGCCTGTTAGGTAATTCTGTTTTTGATACTTTAAGTATACTTTAATACAATATTTTATATCTATATTAATACTTTCACATTTGAATTGAG